ACGAGCATGCTTATTCCGATTATGCGTTGGTTTGGCTGCTTAGCAACATGGTGGATGATGGAGATGAGATTATCTGCGTGAGGGTCTTGGAGAACCCCATCCGGCCCGAGAAAAACTACCAAGAAGAGGCCAAGAAAATGCTGCAGCAAATTCAAGCCAAAAACGAGCTTAACAAGGCGATTAGCATTATTCTGGAGTATTCTGTGGGCAAGTTGCACGCAACGTTCCAGCAGCTTGTAAGTCAACCCGAGCCTGGCACGGACGAGAAATGAACGCGCTAACCGCACCGGGCAGCTTCACATCTACCAGCCGTCGATGCTCATCGTCGGAACCAAGGGTCGTTCTCTCGGAGGCATTCAAGGGTTGATGAACACTCGGAACTCATTCTCGAAATATTGTCTCCAATACAGTCCAATTCCAGTAGTCGTGGTTAGACCCGATGACAAACGAATGAAGAAGAAGGAGAAGCGTACACAGGACCCGTCACGACAGACATACCTCTCTATGCTCGCACACAACGACGGCAAGCACGAAGCCGACAGCTCGGCGAGCTCCGTATACGAACTGGAGCGAGGCATTTCTGCCGATGAGGAGGCGCATCGTGTCGCAGCGGCCATTGGGCTTCCAGCGGCATTCGATCCTACCATTAAGGCGTACACGCCACCGGCAACAACGCCCCGACGTATATCGTCTCCGACCGGGTTTCCTTCACCTTCTTCTGCTGGGACAAGATCAACTTCGCCGCCTCCGCCCACGCTCCGTACGGACCGCACAGAAAGCGGTGACGAGGAAAGCGACGAGGATAACGACGAATTCGAGGTAGAGGTTGTTTCTGCGCAGAAGACTGTGCCAGAAGATCGAAAGGAACAACAGCAGAAGCAGCGACTGCATGCAATGGAAGTTGGAGAAGCGGCAGCCCTGCTCAAATCGACTCAAATAGAGGACGACGAGGAAGAGGACGAATCTCTAGACAGAACGGAAAACAAGGCAAAGCGTTGATCTCTTCTCATTATTTCTACTCTTCTCATGGAATAGCTTCCTGTCTTTTTGGGCAACAGGAGCAAGGTGTTGACGGCATGGACAATGGGCGGAAAGCTACCGAAATTCAAAAGCTACTGGGCATAACATTCAACGGATGCGATGGTGGCGAGGCAGGCATTTTGTCGTTTCACAGATGGGGTTTTATAGAAGGACTCGGGGAGGCCAGATTCGTGCGGATCTCGGAGCAAAAGATGATGGGACAGTGGTTGTATTTGTACGCCAGCATGGAGGCCGGCTCTCTCCCAGCGATAGTCTGTACACGATAATATAATCTCTTTGTCGTGGAGCATGTGTTTCTGATCGAGTACCTACCGTATGTCTGTTTTAGGTTGACAAGATCGGTTCTAGTGTGATTAACGAAATGTCAAACTGTACTAACAATTTGAACTTGAGAAGAGGCGAGCTGAAGAAATTGTCTGGAGATTTTGAGTTTGAGCCCAAGCCTGAGCCACCTCGGGAGCCCTTTTTAAGGTGCGGGGCGGGGGTTGGACTCGGAAGTTGCAGCGACCTCCCCTGGTCCAAGCGTTGGCGAGACCGGGGTTGTTTCCGAGCTGGATGGATGTGATTCGTCATTCGCCCAAGCCCCAAACTCCAAGACGGGGTTGTGTACGTACTTTCTGTACAACCCAAACGGACAACGACGGGACACAGACAAACAAACCGAGCAAACAACATCCTACCGTCAAGTTTACACCTTCCATGAACTCGGTATCTATTCCTAGCGAGCGTTGAATTACCCGCCGCTCAACATCACGTTTTGTTAGCTCTAGGGCCTCGAATGCGCGCCCCCAGACGAATCATCCGGCGTATGATGATCCGACCTGGCCGCCTCGACAGCCTTGGGCAACGACAGTCTGCAATTCGATAGTCACACCTCTCTCGTCGTCTGCCTATTACGCGCTCGCACCATCACAACCTACATCACAAATGCTTCCAACGGCAGAGGATGCAGGCGGCGCCGCCGGGTGTGGAGTTGACTCGTGTGGACCGCCAACAACCGCAACGACAGCAGCCCCAGCAACGCTTGGCACCCTCTTCTCCCTCTCGCCCTTCCTCGCCACCTTCGCCGTCGTCAGCTTCGTAGTCGCCAAGAATCTCTTCCCCCAATTGTCACGAGTCCAGGGCAACCGTGACGGCGAGGGACACTACCTACCGGCGTCGGCGCCCCCAAGTCTACAGCAGGCCCATGCCGAGCATGGTGCGCGCTCCATTCGACGTCGCATCGCCGCGCTGACGTTCGCCGCTACGATCGGACTGTCGACGGTGCTGGCCGAGCTCATTCTTTCCGAGATCTCGGAGCTCGTCAGCGCCCATGCCCGAACCGTCGCCTTGCGCTTTACTGTGCCCACGCTACTGTTCCTCCTCGTTGTATTGATACCTTTTCTGGAGCTGCAGTCGGTGGTCGCCGGGTCGGGCTGGACGTTCCAGCGAAATGCCAAGGGCCGCATCCCGCGGGTTGCCTGGACCCTGCAGCTGGCCGTGTTCGGTGTCTGGCTGTTCGTGTTCTGGTCTGTCGGGAGGGCCGTTCCGAGCCCGGACGAGGCCGACTATCTATATGGGCGGCACGGATACAAGGAGGACGAGGGAAGCTTCGACAGCACGGGCATAAGCATGGGCCACTCCGAGGGGTCGCGCAGCGAGTCCGTGAGCGACGTGCTCGTGGGTGGGAGGCTGTCGCGGGCCTGTCTGGAGCGCATTGGCGTCATTGGCATCTCGCTCATGGCGCTGCTGTCGGGCTTTGCATCGGTTTCGAGCCCATGGCACACCTTCTCCGACAGACGATCCTACCGCAAGCGGCCCATTACGGACGCTGATATTGCGCGGAAACAGGCTGGGCTGGAGGCCACGAACGAACTGCTGTTGACGAAGCGGCACCGGCTCCGGTCGCTCCAGCGGAAGGTGGCTATGGCGGAAGCCTCTCCAACAGGAGTCCCGGGGAGCAGCGGTGGCGGCGGTCTTGTTGGCAAGATGCTCGGGTCACTCAAGGGGATTGCCGGCGGGGGCGGGGGCGATGCTGCTGAGATCAAGGCGCTGCAGATGGAAATCTCGGGTCTCGAGACTATGGAGTCCAATCTCGCCACCTCCCTCTCCCTCCTCAAGACGCGCCAGGCCGCGCACGCCCGCGATGGCACCGCTCTCGGGCGCCTCCTTGCCATCCCGAGCTACGTATTCTCCCTGTACTGTATCTACCGCATCCTCGCGACGACCCTCACCACCCTCCGCAGGCTATACTACCCCGCCGCCTCGTTCTCGTCGTCCGACCCCATAAACCGCTTCCTCGGCCTGCTCGCCAAGCACTGGGACCCAAAGCTCGACCAGATCGCATGGGCCCGCCAGATCTCGTTTCTGTTGTCGGGCGTCATCCTCGCCCTGAGCGCCAACTCGGTTCTCCAGACCTTCCACCTCTTTGCGAAATGGACCCCCGGTCTGCTGTACCAAGCCCAGGCTAATCTTGCCCTGCTGATCGGCCAGATCTCCGCCACGTACGTGATCTCCGCCGCCCTGCTCCTCAGGAGCAATCTACCCCGCGAGGTAGGGCGCTCCGTCGGCGACGCCCTGGAGAGCGCGCTTGAACCAGGGTTCGTGGACCGCTGGTTCGAGGGCTGGTTTCTCGTGGCGAGCGTGGCTACCGCTGCGGGGATATGGGTCGGCCGGAAACTGTCCGGTGCGGTTGGGGGCAGTGGTGAATTCTATGATGATTGGGATGAGTATGCAGGCGAGGAGATGCAGAAGCGGTCTTGATTCACACTCTTCCTCTTTTTTTGTTGTTTTCTTTATTATTTTCCCTAGTGTAGTGGTTGGTGGTAAACGAAATCGGTCTGGTGTTTTGGGTGTGCTCCCTTTTTTTGTGGGGGGGGGGGGGGGGGGGGTTTCAAGTTTTTTTAAAACTTGTAACCTTTTTGATAACAGGTTTAGAACAAGTTTTGGTTGCCATGTCCTTGTAATATCGGGTTTTTAGGTTCCTGTTGGTGTGGGAGCGAGCGAGCGAGCGGAAGCGAGGGGTTTATAACATAGGTACTGCTTTGCTTGCTTGCTGGTGTTTTGGGTGAGATTTTATTTCTTGATGGGTGGAACAAGTAAAAAAAATTTGGGGCTCGCGTCATTGCTGGTGTTTTATACAGTAGGTCAATTTTACCTACCTACGGATGGGTACCTACAGCCCCTGACCTACTTACAATATAAAGGAAGGCCTAGCTGGGGTGGTTGTGCATATAAAGAAGAAAGAATCTGAAGTCTAGATTAATCAATACATATACTCTCTTGATGATGATGATGATGATGGTGATAGAGTAAGTAGGTCTTTTATTATTGAGAGGGGGAAGATATTTGAAAACATCTATAGGTTGGTATCCACTTTGGGTTTGTTTGATCGTTAGTGCATTTTATTTATATGGTGGTAAAAGGTACTTAGGTACCCTGGATGTATTGATGGATTTTCACTCTCGAGCTGCTGAGGTCCATAAGGCATTGCTGTGATCGACGGAGAAGGGGTTGCTTAGGCAAGTGCATGACAGCGCTCGATTCTTACGAGGAAGGCAACTGAGGTGTATGCCGCGTGTTGCTTTTCCTTATATCCTTACATAGAAAAAAGAAGGTAAACTCTTGTACCTTCGAATTTCATTCCCCCTAGAAATGTCTATGGCCAAGCAAATACTTCTTCGTTCCCCAGTTGGATTCAGATATAAGTACTTCTTTTCACTGGTTATATGGGAGTCGTCAACGAAAACCTCACGCACTCGTCTTATTACAAAATATGGCGAAGTTTCTTGGTTCAACTCAAGCCACCTTATTCATAGTCAACACATAAACAAAACCTCCACCGCCCCTGCCATTATTGTTCCAAAGTAGTGATAGTTGCGTCGCCCATCCATAATGACCGTTCCCCCCCCCCCCCCCCCCAAAAAAAAAAGTGGGGGGGGGCAAAGTTAGGTTTGAAGTCGGGAGACCTCAACTGTACTTGGACGGGCTGGGAATCGAACCCAGGACCTTTCGCATCAAAGGTGAATCCGTCCTTTGGAAGGACGACCAGATGCTAAGCGAACGCTCTACCAACTGAGCCACACGCCCTTTTATTGCTTATTTGATGTTTGTGGTGGCTGGAAATGGTGACCATGTATGTGGTTTGTGGATGTGGTGGAATTTGGAAGTGTGGGAAGAAAAAAGTAATTTGTGGATGTGGGGTAGACCAGCGGGCTCATGGACAGGGATAGATAGGATGGATTCAGCCAAGACAGCCACCTAGCCACAGTGTGAGAATGATTGCTTTTGTCTGCCGAGAAAATTCATGTCTTCCATGTTCTGCAGGGTGAATGCCAAAGGCCTCAGAAAGGTCACTTTGGGCCAACCTAAATATGGCAGTGGCCTTGTTTATTTATAACTGACAGAGGCTCGGGAGGCGTCGTGGTCTTTTCGCAACGCAGCACTTTTGTTGGCGCAACTAACTCTATTAGAGACTGCGTATTTTTTATTTTTACTGGAATAGACGGAAATGGAAATATCAAGTCACAGATAGATGCCAAAGTACAAAAAGATACCTAAGCACAGTTATAAATGTTCAAATACCAACAAAGTTCAAGTTAGATGTTCCACTCACTAATCACTGCCATAACATCCACAACACCCTTTGAAGAGGAACACCCTTTGAAGAGTGTATGTAAAATACAGCAAAAATTATGATCTGGAACTCGCCATCGGGAATTGAGCCCGACGTGGGGGTCGAACCCACAACCTTGAGATTAAGAGTCTCACGCTCTACCGATTGAGCTAGCCGGGCGAGGTTCTTTTTCTTTTGATGCTTCGTTGTGGATGTTGTGCGGTCTAAGTGCTTCCACGGTGGGGGTGAGTCATAGAAGGTTTTTTTCTTTTTTATGTGCCTTGTGGAGTTTTTCGTCTTCCATACAAAAGACACTAATCAAGGTAGCCAGCCTCCGGGTTGAACTGTGCAACTGAAGTGGGGACCGGAAATGGGAACCCAAGGAGAGTTTGATACTTGTTTCTTTTTGTCATGTGCCTTCATGGATATCAAAGGTGAAAAAAAGGTAAGAGGGTGGGTGGCATAAAAGCGAAGGTCTTCATAGAATTTTTGTAGGAGTCAATATCAGATGGGAAGAAGGAAGGGGATATGGCAGCAACAAGACGAGAATACGAATCACCTTGGTCACTACAAAGGGTAGCAAGAAGACGTTGAATTGAATCAAAACTAGGTACCTTTTCTACTCAAGCAGTGCTTGCATTTGCATATCAGTCAACAAATTCTAGCGAGATTTATTAGGGCAGCGCGTCGACCAAGTGACGCCACTATTCTCCGAATAGGGGTCACCCCTTTCTTGCCCCACCTTTTCTTTTGTCTCTTGGCATATATCTTCATGACGAGTTCGACTAAATCAAACGATAAGAGAAATTGTATCGTATTTATATTTGCAAGATACCTACCGCTTCATGCTAGCAGGCTCAATGTAGATGACTTGATGGATCAGTCAGCGCATTCTGATCAGTCCTTCAGCTTCTTGATGTCCATCAGCAGCCTCCTCTCCTCCTGGTTTGACGCAAGCATCCGAGAGAGGCAGCTTCCCTCAAACCGTACCAACTGTAGAAACTCATCGGAATGGCTTTTACCCTTTTGTTTCTTGAGCAGATTCCTCTCTTCCTGGATGTTCCAAATCCTCCGATTGAAGATGACGTCTTCCCCCTTTCTGCTCTTGCCTGTCATCTTCTTTGCGATGCCTAGCATCTTGTCTTTGACGCTCTGATGATGTATCTCGCCGCGGATGACGATTTCAGCACTGAAATTTTGGCCCAGTGGCTCGTCCCGCGTTCTGTTCCGCTTCAGAAGCACAGCAGTCTGCATGAAGCTTAGGATGCCACTCTCCGTCTGGGGATTTTCGTACAGCCCCCAGAATACCGTGTTTGCTCGCTTCCTTGCGCTGCCCGCTTGTCCCAACGTCTGTATGAATCCCACGACGCTCGAGTGTCCCTCGACCGACGAGCTCTCCTTGAGTTGCCATGTATACCCGAGCGTGGCCTTGCCCGGCCCGAAAGCCGCCTCAAGACTCGGGCTAACACTGTGTGTGAGCTCCCGCTGCTTCTCGGATTGAAACGTCGCCCAAGTTCTGGACAGCGCGATCGATTGCACATCGCCGGCTGAGAATGCGATAGTGATTTCGGCCTCCTTGAATCGCCGGCGATTTCCCCGGGGGCGAAGATAAATTGGAAGACGGCTAGGGCAGCTGGTGATCCATCCTCGATCATGGAGCCGTGGATGACTTGAGAGATGTCGCATTGTACTATCAGCCCATGTTTGGTGATGTTTTTGTCAATCTGCCTTGGGCCTTGCTCCTCGCCGCCGCCGAGGTTTGTGCCTTGGATGATGAAGGATGACTTCAATTCAGCGCCACTATCGCCGTCGGTCTGGAAGAGATCATGATCAAGCAATACGACATCGAAGCGGGTGTCGTCGTCAAACTGTGTATCGTCGAGGAAAAATCTCTCTCATCGTCTGCGGCCATAATGCCAATGGGACTGTTATTCTAGCATTCAGTATTATCAAAAATGCTTCGGTCAACTGTGGTCTGCCATTATCGTGGGGTTGATGGCAGCCTTGTCTATCAAGACCACTGCCGACTTGAGCGGGGTGATATTGGCCCGAACTAATCCATAAAGGGCGGGAGAGGCTCTATCATCCAGGGTGTGAGAGGCAGATGTACCGGATGTACTGTACATTCTAGAACAAATAGCTGCGTATATTTCATAACCTTCCGTAAATGCTGCCTGCACAGCGCCCAAATTAGGGATTGATTGGCCCAACACGCGCAATCAGCGCCGGTTATGCACACCCACTGAAGTTCAGCTCTCATGAAAGAATTGTCAATATAGTTGGAATATGCCATTTTCGGAGGTGCGGTTACGTCCCATCAATAAAAACTCCGCCGGCCTTATCACAAGACGACTCGCTCATTCGTTGTTTTGGCCGTATGTTTCTTCGACTCGCCATGTGCCGGCTCGGAGTCTGGCTGCGTTGTGGAAATGGGTCTCCTCTTGAAGAACCCGGGTACCACAATGTCGCAAACTGCCTCCACCTTGGCCTCTTTGCTGTTACTATCGAGGTACTTTACGGCCAGCTCAAAATATCTGCGTACAGGCAGCCATCCACTATTGCTCTGCTCAACTTGTATGCTTTCGAACGCTTTACTCATCCCCTCGTGTGACCTGAGCCTGCTCCCCAAAAGAATGTCAGTATCTTTCCGGTGGTTGGCAAATAGCATACCCAACTCTGTGTCCAGTTTGGTGTTAGGGCACGTACCACTTCCACGCAGCGTCATCAAGCTCGACCTTGCTGGTGACCAGCGCGCAGTGCAGTATCATAGCTGCCAGCCCGACAGCCAAAGCGCGTGATAGCGAACTGCCGCTGTGCTTGCGCCTAGCCAGTTTGTCAGATAATCATGTTTGGGCGATGGAAATATTAAAGCACAGAACGTACCATTCATGGGGAGGCTCATCCAGGTTCTTCCTAGAAGTGCTCTCAACTTGAATCCTGAGCTCGACACCGGGAAGAAAATAATTGCACGACGTATCATTGACGTCAATCTGACCCCAGCGGATGCCGTCTTGAGTCGCGGCGCCGATCCAAAAGATCTGATCAGAGAGCAGACTCTTGGGATATGTCTGGTTGTCCACATAGCCTGGTCCTTTGTCAGGGTTGGCGCAGAAGAGGAGGATTCCCTTGTCAGTTGCCTTCTGTATTGCTTCGAGCAACCGCCTCTCTCCATGGTCATGATTGCCAGTTTTAGAGTTGACGTCCTTATCAATTGCCCAGCTCATAGAGATGATGTCGACTTCTTCTTCGGCTGCCCACTCAATTGCCTGCGTATGAAACTCAAGTGTCAGCAGAGCGAGGGGGCCCATTTTCTCCTCGGTACAGTTGACCGCTATACCTTCTTCCACTTACCTCAGCAGCAGAGTCGCGGGAAAACGTGACTCTCTCGCTACGGCCACCCATCTCGCCTCTCTGCGCCAAAGGCTCAGGATCGAGTTTTGCGACGTAGAGATGAACCTTTGGGCAGGCGCGCTTAATATACTAGGCCATAACGGTGCCATGCCCGGTCTGAGAGCTATTGTAGTTTTGGAAGTAATCACGCCGAATTGCCCGTTTTTGCGTAATGTCGGAGTCTGGGCGTTGCCATCCTGACCTGCCCATGTAAAACATTGTTGTCCAATCCGTCATAGCTCATCTTGACACCGTCATCGATCAAGGCAACTCTAATGTGACGCTTGACAGGTACGACGATTCCCTGGAAGAACATTTAGCAATTCTTATGAATTTGAAAGTGGCAGCATGAAAAAAAAGCGGGCTCGCTGACAAACTTCGTGTGAGTCTGCTGTTCCACTGCCTCCATAATATCAGCGAATTCATCCATACACTTCAGCCAATCTTGCCTGTTACATTGTGAGCAAATATTGCGAATATCTTGCGTGTAGGTTATGTACTCTTCAAATCCCTGTTCATTCTTGTCCTTGACCTTGGACGCCGCAGATTCGGTCCCAAGAGCCCGTCTACGCGTGGCCAGCACACATTCGATTATCAGTTCCTTCTTAGTCGGATTCAGTTCTTTGAACGTCTTCTGAAGATCTGCTTTGAATGATTTGGCATATTCTCGAATCCACTCGAAGGATTCCAGCCCTAAATGGAAGCATTGTAAGTAGGGTCAAAATATGAAGGACTAGATATGCTCACCTGGTCTATCTCCACATAAACGCTTTCGAGCTGCTTCCTGTCAGAAACTTGGTTTTTGGGTCATAAGATGGAGGGAAATCTATACGTTTTCAAGCCTTGCAAGACCTTGCCTATCTGCCCAGCTTTGCAGGACGGCCTTGAGACCACTATAGTAGAGATATAGTGTCTTGACCGTTGACTGAACGGTCAACTTGTTGTTTGGTTTGTTTAGTTTGTCGTTCATTCCCGTTGCGGCAACGATCACGTCTGCCGGAATGTCCATTCGCTGCCAGTCCAAGGTCTCAACCTGCAAATCTTTCAGACACGCAACGATGGCTTTGTCGCTGTGGGACTTCTT